ATGTGTATGTGTTTGCCTGGACCACTGTCTGTAGGATGACCAAGGAAACAGACATCTGACCTTAGAAAAAAATGGGTATGAACAAACAAAACTGCTTTCAGCCTGAAAAATAAAGGCCAAGGAGAGATTTGATTCCGAACTTGTTTCAGCCATAAACATATATACCACCTACCAAAAAGATCTGAAAGAAGTGCCCCAACAGGCAAGAACAGCTAATTTTAATGTAACGGATAACACCAGCAGAAGGACAAAAATACATTAACTGGCCACAAATAAAGGCTGGAAATTGAGAAAGATTTCTCACCGAGCAAGACAGAGAAGAGAGAATTTGAAGGGATAAACACATAAGGATTTTTTTATGAAGAAATTTGATAATTTCTATATGCTGCCTGTGACAGCAGGTGACTAGATTTACTAAGGAGTGCCCGTTCTTCGTCAGAGAAAATATCACCACTTCAGTGATTCAGTTTGGAACACATCCTCAAATATTTGCAATTTATGCAGGGGAGACACAATAAGAAAAAAAGGGTTCCTGCCAAGCAGGAACCAGTCCTGCCAGGATGACCTAAATCTGTTGCCAAGTCAGATTTACCCTTCAAATTCAAACATGAGACCTGCATCTGTAACTTACTCTGCATGCACTTCCTCTGCTGCTGAGCCTGACAGGGAAGGTCAGACCACAGCTTCAGGACAGCAACTGATGCTCCTGCATGAAAGGCAGCTTTATTTTAGCATCTGTAAGATCAAAATGCTAAAGAACTGGCTAATAATTCTGCCAGTGATGAAACTGAAGTATTTACACAGTCTTGGTAAGTGACCAAAGTTTTGTGCTCTAAATATTCAGAATAGGAACTACATAAAGAGCAAACAAATAAGCAAATGGCATAATGGCCATCTCTCACAAATCTAAATCCCTGAAGGAATTCATCTTCCAGGTAGGTATCACAGAGATAGAGACTGGATTTACTAAAGCTAGGGGAGACGAGCCTAGAGTTTTTTTGCTGGTTTGTTTTTTAATACAACGGTCCTGTATTTATACTAATTCAACTAATCCAGGATACAGTTTACATGTTTACATTAATAATTTTAAGAGCGACTTCATAATCTCATACAAGCCTGTGCTGTGACTTGCACTGACTTAAGCACTTCATTTTAAAGAACTAATTGCTTCACGCAGCAGATCACTCCCAGCAGATCACTCCCAGCGGGGTGCATGCTATTGCTCAGTTTTACTCTGTATTTTCTTCAGTTGCCACTTTGCTTCACTTGAAAAAAAGATGTGGGAGTTCATTTGTGAAGGGAGTTACTCTACCATTGCAAACATTAATCACCACATTCTACAGTTAAGATAGGTCAATACATGTCCTGCTGTAAGTCATATGTTCTTGCAAACTCGTATTTCTGGGCAGTAGTTTCTATGTGTGGATAACAGGAACTTTTTGAAGTTCAGCGTCAGCTGACTTTCTCCTTATTTTAGCAATCAGTTCAGAAGGACATTTAAACATTTCCATAGCTTTAAACATTTAAACTCTACTCGCATTACACAATTATATCTTTTCTTAATTATCGAACTGCCCTGCTACTCAATATAACGGTTTAAGCAGAAGTGTGAAGCGTCCTGCCTAGCAGAGGCCTGAAAGGGAGCACAGGACAACTGTTGTCCTTGTTAGATCTTGGTCAGTAGCAGCTCGAGCAACGGTAACAGAAAGCTTTGCAAGGTATTAACTTCTCATCGATGTCTGATGGAACCATGCCATGCAACTGTGAGCCTGGACCATGCTTTCCTAGAAGGCCCCAAAAAATTTCTCCAGCCGACTTCACTGTCCAGGCTGAGAGCTGAGAGTCAGTCTCTCTTAACTGCCCCTATCTCAAGAGGGGAAAAGAGACAGGAACACCAAACCAACCCCCAAAGCAGCCCCCTTTCCAAACAAACAAAATCAACAAGCCAGCCCTAGGAAACGAGAGCAAACACAATCTCTCCTTTCAAAGCACCTTTTAAAGCAGCAGGTCCTCCTCTTCACACGGAAGGCTACACTACACCAACAGTGTCAGAAGCTGAGTTTGTGAGTGCCCACCTCTCTCCTCCCGGTTCAGAGAGACAAGGTGCTTCCCTACAACCAGCTAGGCTTGACACCATGAACAGGGAAGATGCCCTGACCTTTCAGCTGCGTAGGTGGCAGGGAGGGTACTCATTTGGTACACGGAACAGGATTCAAGTGTCTGTAACAGACAGACAGGTACATGACACTTTTTTCAAGATAAATTATCCTGATGTATTTGCTTTTTCTCTATGTCATCTCCTGATGAAGTCCCCTGAACTTCTAGAAATAAGTAAACTGACTTGTCTAAAGCATCCTGTCAGACATTAAAGGCTACCATCACACACTAACCACGCTCCAGGCACAGATAGGAAGACAATTACTATAATTACCTCACTACCAAAAATATCTATAAACAAAAATAATAAACTGAGGCAATAAATAAGTAAAGGCCCTTGAGTCAGGGAAAATTCGCTACTTACTGAAAAAGCTGCAGGATCCTCGTAAAGGGGACTGAGGAGCCAGAACAAAGAACCTCACAAACATTTTTGAAGCAACAAGTTCTTTTTCATAAACTGCCTGAAGCAGCTAAAATAATGATCTTGCATAATGAGAAAGGAACAATTACAAACCTCTAGTTCCACAGGGAGCCTACTGTCTCATTAAAGTGTTCTGGAATTTCTTCGACATTCATTTAGAAGAAAAAAAATGGACAGGTTTCCCACTTGCTGAAAGCGGGAATAGGCCTTCTATCTATTAAAAACCTCTTCCCATAGCAATTTCAGTGCCAGTTTTCTGTTTTATTAACTAAGAACTTTGTAAGAATGATTTGTTCAATCGAGGCTGTTAAATTGTTCAAAGGATTAACAGACAGATTATTACAGCAGTTTAAAGGGCAACACAGACCCCTCCAAAAATCTTTATTTCTAGTTAGCAGAAAGAAAAAAATTCCATGCATCTCCAGAGTGATATTTTACCTGTAAGACCTATCACGCAATGTGAAAAGTCTTTCCAGTTCTAGCTACACATGCTCCTCCCTTACCAGACACAACACGCTGCATGAGGCGCTCTCCCCTGTGACACGGTGATCAGCACCCTGTCTTGCGGCCCGGCCAGCCCCACCTCCCACTTAGGCAGAGTCCCCCCTGGATCTTACATAGACCTGTATCAGCTATTGGCCCACTTGGCTCTTCTTCCTGCACCTCTGGTCTTTCCCTTGGACATTCTGTTTTATTTAACTGCTTAGCAGGTGATGGATCTGGCTCCTCCTTGTTCTCCTGGCAGCCAACCAGGACCCACCCTCCCTTTAGCTTCTCTCAGAGAAGGTCCACAAGCAGCCACAGCAGAGGGCCAGCCAAAAGCTGCTCATCGAGCAGCTGCGATAAGAGAGAGGAAGCCGGCAGCTCCTTACAGACCAGCCCTGCACAGAGGCTGGGCGCTCGTGAAGACGACCACGAGAGCTGGGAGAGCACTGACAGTGCTTCAGGAAGAGAAGGAAGAAAACAACAGAGGCGAGTGAGGTTAGGCAGAAGAAGAGAAAGAAATAAAGAAATCCAGCAAGGACACTTTATCTTAATAAGGAGGAGGGGTTCATTTCCTCCAGATGCATGCATATGCACAAGGATTGCTTTTGGGTGTTCTCCTAATTCTGTATGCTCAGCCTGGGTCTGTATGGTGTCAGCTGGGCAAATGCCCTCACAGCTACAGCTGAGCCTTCAATTGCTGTAGAATATACAGTCCCCCTGAATGTGTGGCCTCATGTTGCTTTAACAGTCCTAAATTCCACATGAAAAGATTTAATACTAAAGAACAATAAAGTCAGCCATATCTAGGCTGCACTGTGCCAAAGCATAATACGATTATAAATTCCATTCATTTACAGAAGTATTCCAAGAGGACCATTTACTGCAAGTAGGATTATCGTTAGCTAAAAATACTTTGTACAGGGAACTCATGAATTTATTCCTTTGATTACAGCCTTCTTTTATATGAGAACCTGAAAGAAGGTCTAAGGGCACAGAATTAGGGATAAGGTTTTTGGAACTGCCCACCAGACCTCAGTAGACAACAGAATATAAATTTTGCATAAATAAGACATAACAGGAAAACAGAAGACGTACTAAAAATTGAAAGTCTGAGATCTGCTAATCTCAGGTTGTAAAATAGGTCTTATGGAAAAGGACTGCATCATTTCTAATGTAAACAAACTCCCCTCTCAGTACCTTAATATTTTTCACAAGCTAAATATTTTCCAAAGGAGAGAGATTTTCCTAAAAGATAGTTCAAGGAACTAGTAACACAAAATGTTGACTTCTTATTTCATTGTGTGGCCCAGTATTCGACCGAATTCATCCTACTGTTGCTTTACCCTCCTTACCAACAATCCAAACTTTGACAGGCAGCAGCCACCACTGACTAAAATTCAGCACTGTATATGTTCCTCAGGGTTGGCAGCATAATGCTTTTCATTGCTTTCAATCCCTCTACAACAAAGGGGCGGAGGGGAAGTCCTTCACAGAGAAAGGTCACACACACACTTGCACATGGTATGGCAGGAATATTCCAAGTGGACCGTTTGCTGCAAGGAGGATTATGGTTACCCACAAATACCTTGTGCAGGGAGTTGATTTGTTTATTCCTTTCATTCTAGCCTTCTTTTACATAGCAGTAGTACAAGGTGCCTAAGTTCAGGAATGCAACGTTTGGGACAGCACTTGGTTTTTGCAGGGATTTTTGGGTAGATTTATTGTCCAAACATTTTTATTTCACCAAAAGCTCCTGCCAACCATTCATATCAGCGTTTTGATGGGAAAACAGATGCAGTGTGTCCCACCGCAATCCCTCACATAGGGAAGTCTGATATCGAATCAAACTGCAGGGTCTGGCTCATTTCAGAAATCGAGATGCATCAGACTGCTTCAGTTACTTGGTGACAGGAAAGCAAGAAAAGTTCCAACTTACCACCCCACCTCCTGCCGAGTGAACCAGCACAGACATGCCTTCTCTCAGGTTAGCAACTTCAAAGAGCATCATGTAGGCAGTTACAAAGTTCATGGGAAACGCAGCAGCTTCAGAAAAACTCATGTCATCTGGGATCTTGTAGACAAATTCTACTGGGGTACACACTACTTCAGCCCATGCATTGTAGTTTACAAAAGCCATGACTCTGTCTCCAATCTACAAACAAAGAAGAAAACAACGTTGAGGATGTGGCTGCAACTGAGACTGTAGAGAGCAACTCTCCTGTTCAAGCTGTGGGTCACTGCCTGGCTGTGACGATAAAGGTGTTCCACATCTTTGGTAAAATGACAGTTAAGCTGCTCAGCTTTGGGCTTTTACCATTTTTTAATTGTATTTATTTAAAAAGCTGAATTTAACAAAAATATCCAAACCAAGTTAAAGCCACCTCTTTTTTGCTACACTGCTTCTCTGACGGAGCAGTCTTCCATCATCACTAATACAATCATCTTTTGCCAGCAGAGCTCCTAAATAACAAATAAACCATGAAAACAGCATTCTTACTAATAACCAGGAAATTTGCTTACAGAAAAAAGAAAAAAAAAGGAGAAAATATTAAAATAATATTGATGAGATGCACAGAATAAACAAAATTACACCTAAGATAATTTTCACTTTGCTTTCTCAGTCTTCACAGTACTTTAGAGCTACTTTTCCTCTCTGTGGATTGAGAAGGGGAGGCCTTGTACTCTGGTAGACAGAGCATATGAGAGGGTTAAGAAACCACTCACTTAGAAGATAACACCATTTGTATCCACTCTCTACTTTTATTATCTTAATAACTAATTCTACCAACACATTTCCATGATTGTCATTTCTACAGCCACGTGTCAGAGCAGAATTTGATCCTGCAGCTGCGAAGAAGCCACCTTAAACATCAAAAATATACTTGTGGATTCTAAGGCACTACTAAGCCTACAAAGTGAATCTGACAGGATTTAAAGGAGCTATGAAATATTCTCTCTAAATGTGATGTTTCTCTACTCCATTTCTTTGGAAAATATATAGTAGCGAAAGGGTATTTCACTATGGAGAAATAAAGATTTACGTTAATATTAGATACAGTTGGTTGCTCCTAGGAACCTTTCAGAGGTCCAGGCACATCAAATCCATACGTTTGTATAATGGCCCTCATGGCAGCTTCAGGTTTTTAAAATGGAGATAGTGACTCCCCACAGATGGACAAGAATAATAACAAGACATCTGGAGCTCTGAGGCTCCTGCAGGGGTACAATGAGACTTGGAAAGCAACACTTGTGTAAAAGCTGAAATTGATCAATTGGTCTGCTGGGGCTACTAGTGAGAGCCACAGTGAGCAAACGTTTGGCCAGTGCATATTACAACCCTCACAGCACAACTCTTACAAACTCTCGATCATGGCTCGTCACCAGCAGTCCCTACACATCTTTTACCTTGTCTTAGACCTCTTTGCCTTTCTATAATGCACCAACAAAAATAGCATCCTACCACAAAAGGAGCTCCTCGATGGAGCCACAGTGTCAGTAATAACGCAGGAATAGCATCAAACTTCAGGACTTCACGTTTTAACTAAAACTAACAGTAGCTGTCCCTCTAAAATACCTTTGCTTCTCTGCCTGATGCTGTCTATCTTACACTCTACTACTACCCACTACTGCTTTAGAAATACTACAGGTTGTTCTTGGATTACTTCAACTATATTCCACAGTAACAAAGTAAAGTACAACACTTTTCCCTTCAGGCAAATGTTTATAGCACAGGCACATTCTGGTCTCCCAAGTACTTGTCATCACTTTGGCTTTGGGATATGGTGGGTTTGCTAAAAGCTAAGGTGCTGCTGACAGTTCTGAAGGGTTTGTCTCTTTCAGAATGAGGATGCTGAAACAGAACTGTCATTCCAGTTTCACCAAAATGCCTCCTCCTTTTGAAAAACACATTCAAATTAACAAAGCCTCACTGGTAGCCGCTCTGTGGTTCCCTTTTGCTGTTAGAGAAGCGTCTAAAACCTAAAGTCTGCTAGGATTAATTAGGGAAGATGTTAACACATCCTATATCCCTGCAAACAAACATAAATGATTACCAAAAAGAATGCAGAGAAGTCCTTCTTGGTGATTCCCTAGCGATTTCTTAGTAATAATAAATAGTATATTTTACCACAAACACTATACAGAGCCTACTCATCACGTCAGATTAGGCCTTAGCTCCTGAGAATGATCTCCACAGCTGGAAAGACATCAGGCCCGATACATTTGAGCTCAGCAGAAATCACCTTTTTCTTTTAACAGGAGAAAGAATAGGCACTACACCATTATTCCATAAAAAAGGCTTTCTTTCAATGTAAAATATGCCATACAGCAGCACAATCACAGTGAATGAAGACAATAAATGGCTGGCAACATCTCAGGTGCAGTATCTCAGGTAGTACAGACAGGTAAGACACATTTTTCCAGAGCATGAAATGCCCACGACTTTAACGTGACTTGAACTGGAAGAGATTTACAAAGGGAAAGAAGGTCAGAAGATGTAGGGTGCAACCTTTGGCAGGTGCAACCGTTCCTGCCATTGCTACGGACAGTGGTAACAGCATATGCCAAGGAGACAGGCGGCATCTGGCGTGCTCCTGTTCTGTGCAAGAAATCCATAAAGAAATGGACAGAACGTTCTTGCATCTTCCTCATGGTGTGTTCTGCTGTTCAAGGGTTCATACCTGTGCACAGTAATTCTGAGCATTGATCCTTCATGTAGGACACTACCACGGCTATGCAGATTATATGCAAAAAATAAAATACCACGGATTGTTTCAATTTCAGGGAGTACCCAGAGCATAAGCATGTTCTACAGTCAGAACAAAGACGTAACTTTAAAAGAGACCCAGTATATTCACTCAGGTGCAATGTTATTCAAACAAGCACCATATGCTGTAGCCTCATGATGCCCTATAAAAACAGCAAGAACTTTTAAACTGAGAACGCTGACCTAGAGCAGAGGCTTTCTATACTCCTTTCATAGAATGTCCTTCGATATGGAGATAAAAATAAAGGTAATTGCCTTCTTAAGATCAAGATACAGTAAGAATTCTGAAAATGTAATTACTTGATTACATGACTGACTCAGCAAATAACTAAGATAGGATTGACATGCATTAACTCAATTTTTATTTCAACATTTTTCTATCTCCTTGGGAAATAAGGTGCAAGATCAGAGGGAATATAGATGTTTAATATCAATAATGGAATAGGAGGTAGGAGAGAATGCTGTTCATATGTAATAAGAGATACCAAAGAATACATAACGCCAACCAGTTATGAAAGCTTTATTACATATATTAACTATTTGTCATTCATCACTATTCTGTTAGGTGAAACAGATCCTTTTCCCGAGTCATCAGAGTAAGTCACATACCCAGAATCAGGGTCTCAATTTTATTGGAGTCTCATGAATGCACATGGTTCTAAGAAGCATTGCTCACTGTAGATGGGGGTCTCGTTAACTCAAGATCAAAAGTTGGAACTAGAATTAGCAGCACATGGGCTTTGAAGAACATAGCAATGATGACAGCAAACACGGCCAAGAAAAGAAAGTTAACAAGTTCACTCAATTTCTTTTACTTAAAGTGCATCAGTCATGCTTTCCACTTTCTATCTAGCCATCAGGGTAAGCACATGGCACAAGTGACTTTTTAGGAAGGATTTGAAGATGACGACAGTGGTGGCTTTAGAAACCAATTCAAGACGTCATTCTCATGCCTGGGAAGCATTAAGGAAAAATTGCCCTTTCAAATCTCACCACAGTGGTGAAGGCTGCTGTCTCTGGCAGACCAGAAGGGATTAGGGACAACATCGTCAGTGAACTGGTGATTATTTAGTCTTGCTCTGAAAAGAAAGAAAGCATTACCTCAAATCCTTTCACACTATCTCCAAGAGCTTCTACAATTCCAGAGCATTCAAACCCAGGAACAAGTGGCGTCTTAGGAGGGTTGTCGATATTCCCCTGTCGCACCATCAAATCAATAAAGTTCAAACCACTGTAAAACACAGGAAAAAAATTAAATCAGGACTATTACCATAGATCAAAGCAGAGGAAGAAAACTTGACCTAAGTGATGGGAAAGCCATAAAACTTCAGGGCAGCATTAAAAAGCCGGGCTCCGCAGCATAAAAGGGACCCAGAAGGCAGTCACATTCTTCATCCGTGGAACACAGTGACTTTATCCTGTGCTGTACAGGCCTCAGGGGGAGAAGCACATATGGAAGGCAACCACATCTGTCACTGGCCCCAGAGCTTACAAGTCTGTTTAGGGGTCGCACATAGAAATTCAAAAAGGACTTTTAAAAATACAATACAGTGAAACAGTAAGACTTCTAGAAATACATTACTCATTGGCAAGCAAACCCAGTTCAATTTAAGAAGAAAATCCCAAACCTCACACGCTAGAGATATTTTGGGCCAAGAGCAACCTGACGTAACTGTCCTAACCTCTGATTTGACTCCAGGAATGAATCTTGCGTTTGTCCCAGGCAGGAGTCCAAACTTTGACATGAACTTACTAAGTATCAGATAGGCTGTTGTTTTAAAACTATTCCTCCTGGATCACTTTTGTACAGTTTTGCAAAGGTTATTTAAGTCTTTGGAGCCCTCAGGGTTGCTGCTCAGAAAAAATACAGGTCTTCCCCTGTAGTGTCAACTTCAGAAAAATCTTGAAGCATCTTTCCTTTGTCTTTTATATGCTACCCAGTTTTATTAAGTAAAAGTTTGTGGTTTTCTAGGCAGCCACAAAAAAAAAAAACCCCACAAAAAAAGGTACCATTTATCTGCTATAGTAATACACTGATTACTGGCACAAAAGCCATACATAGTTAAAACTTCTAAAACTCCTAACTATCTAAAATATGCTTCAGTATTAATCCATTGTTCCAAAACACAGCCCTGTATTTATTGTTAGCCAAAACTGCTGCATACTAACTCCCCCGACTCTATGAAGCTATGCACACAGACAGTCCTACTCATGCATATGATGCTAGCAACAGCTTGGATACATAAAATTACTGATGTGCACAAGTATTTTAAGATGGAGCTTTAGTCAGATACTAATCAAGACACAAACAGATTGAACAGACCCAACAAACAAAAAGACAGAGTAGACACATAGCGTAAGCATGAAGACAAGACAGCATTCACGAGATGTAGGTCACTGGAGGGGGAGAGGGGGGGCGGGAAGGAAATTCCACCAAACGTAAATATTTGTAATTGTGGTGGAGGGCTTAACCTGAACCCACAACTTTCAGCTCTGTAAAAGCTAGATTATAGATTATTTTTTAAAAACACGGCTTGGAGAAAAATTAAAAAAACCCCAATCAAACAAACAGCAAACCCAACACGCTCATACACAAAGCTCGTAACATTAACCATATGGAAGGTTCAGAGGGGTTTGACACAATTAAGTTGGGAGCTTTGAAAGGATTTTGGAAAGGCCACTTCTTATCCAGTGGTTAAGACCATCTCCTACATCACCACGGTAATGCTGATAATGAAAGAGAAATACTAAATAACAAAATGCCTGGAAGGCAGTCATCATTTGGGAAAAAGCAAAACCAAAACCAAAAAAACCACCAAAACAAAGGAAAAAACCAAAACAAAGAAAAAAAAAAAACAAAACAGCGGGGGGGAAAAAACAAAACAAAGGGAAAAAAACCAAAACACACACCACAAAACCAAAAACCCCACAACATACACGGTGGCAACCACTGTCTGTGTACATTAACTTCAGTGATGATCTTTCAAATACATCTTTCCACACCGTGAGCATTTTACAGAAAGTTAACTTTTTCTACCTTCCTGCAAGAGAGGGCAGCTGGAGGCAGAACTGTGACGCAGAAACCTGCGTAGGAACATGCACCATGACGTCGTAACAAGCAGGCAACAAGCAGGCAGACGGATACGGCAAAGACCAGAGCTATCCGACAATGACATGTGATTACAAATACATTATTGCAGCCCTTTCTAGAAACATTCATTCTTACAAAATAACTTGTCAGGCAATTTTTGAAAGGGCACATATTCAGTTTTTCATCTAACGACATAATACTAGCGATTCAGTTCTAGTTCCATTTCATCTTTCATCTGTCTTTATCCTGAATAAAAGGGAGCAACATTAAATAAAATAGGGAGTTCATCTCTATCACAATGAACTTACAAGACTTGATACTAGAACAGGTGTGATAAGGGGAGAAAAAACACTACACAAGGTACATAATACCTAAGTCACGTGTTTTTATCATTTTAATTACTAGCTGGAACACACAGTGTTCATGAGCATTTCTAATCATTTCTAACCACTTTCCAGAGAGTTTCTTCATTCACTTCATCTTTAATCTCCTGTACGTCTTCGTGTTGTCACATCCCTGTTACTCTCATACATGCATTTGTTTCTTTTCTTCTCCACTTTCAAACAAGAACAGAAAGAAGTAATTTTATTTTACCTGCCAAATTTGAACAAGCCTTATCAACACCAATAGGCCTGAAACCTATTGGTACGGTAAAACCCAGCAATTTATTTTTTTTCCTTTGAATAACCTGGAGAGCCCAAGGATGAACGGCTCGTTTAGTAACTACCGCCAAGAAGACACCCAACTTTATCAAGCCCTTCACTGAGATTCAACCTACCGGAGACAGGAAAAGGGAAGCTTGGCTGCACAGAAAACACGTCTTGTGAAGAGCGATGGTTTTAGAGAACAAGCACAATGTATTTCTTGTATCAGTACAAACCAGCATAGGCTGTGCTGGTGTGTAGCCAGAGTTACTCCTGAACTTTAAGTAAGGACATAGGCAGAGGCAGAAGTGTAAACGCAAAGCGATCCAGTGACAAAAAGTGCAGGATTTCTTGCAGTCAAGTGTTTTTAATCCTAAACCAAGAGCTGGATGCAAATGAAGACAGGGAGTGCTATGAATTACCAAGATCAATACGTTGACGTAGGGGTTCTGCAAGAACCTTCCTGTGAAAGAGGAGGGATATTGGTGTGAACTGCATAGACTGAACTACCTGTGCATTTCTGGAAGCAGAGTGTATCAAACATGGAAGTATCTTTGAATCTGACTTTCTAAGTCTGCGCTGCTCTGCCTTAACAGCAATTTTGAGGATCTTGAATATTATTTTTTATACTCGCGGTTTAATTTTGCTGCATTTTTATTTTCTTTTTTTTTTTTTAAGCTGACGTGGAAAGTCCTGCAGATAGAAAGCTGTATTCTAGATTCCTTTCACCATCAGACCAGCAATGGTCAACTTGGTTCTCCTTGCTCAGTCCCATGCACTCAAGGATGCCCAACACCCTCCATTGCAAACTATCACATTATGCAGACCATCCTTCACACTTTGGAAGTGTGCTTTCAATTGCTGCTTTCAATCCGCCATTTCACTGTAAGATTCCACTGAAATTAATTACTGGAGCTAATGAAATATAACAGAGCAAGTAACAGGACCAGTGAGGTTTACATTCTTAAAATCCTTCCTCTTACCCCAGGCCAGGAAACTGCCCGACAATCTTTAAAAAAAAAAAAAGTGGAAGGCTTTAAAATTATCAGATCTCATGCTTTTTATGCAGAAACACTCACAGTATATGAACGAGCCTACATTTAAGAACAAAATTGATACACTGTCCACTACTTTGCTATACTTAGGATTTCTTTTATTTGCCATCGGTTTTTTAAAGCGCCGCTATCTCACAGTCAGAGTCAGAAGGGTCACTTCTGCCTCATCCCTCATGACGCACATGTATAGCGGCACGGGGAAGAAATAACTGTAACAGAGAAAAGAAAAATACAGGGAGGTAATACAGGACAGCACTCCTTGTTCACACACCCTATCTGCACTACTGCTTCGGTTTGTTCTAGCTACTTCTCTCATCTTTTAAAGAACATGTATACTAGTGTTCTGCAGACTGAAAACTACAACGCAAACAAACACAGCAATTTCAACTGCTCCGTCATTATCAATCAAAACTTATTTCAGGAAATATGCAGAAGCTGTGACTCAGCTTGGACATCGATGGCTGTTCCATTTCTTAGTCACTGAATGAGGCTAACACATGACTCATCTCAGCTGACATATTTTCAATTGGATCATTGATATTCCAGACCTTCAAAAGAATTATTCATCTGGCTTAGTGCTAACAGCAACATATCCTCCACTTCCTCTATTTATAGTACCATACTACAAAACGTATACGTGTGATTTAACTGGTGTACACATACGATTCAACGGGTTTCATGCCTCAGTGAATGCAGAGACCACATAGAACTTGCACTTTTTACTGATACACACTATTTATCATTCATGTCCATATTTTTCTTAAAATAATGATTATTTTCCTCCACAAGTTGATGGGAGAAAAATAATCATCATCTGTAACAATGGTCAACTGCAAAACTGCTTCAACTGAAAATACTATTTGTCATCAATATGTCTTACTAGAGCAGCCTGCCTTTGGCAGGTTCAGCACTGCTTGCACACGTGCACACTACACCGGGCAAAGCCAACAGACATTTGTCTCACTCAGTCTCCCAGACTAGACCGCAAGTCCATCATCATCCTGATCAATCTTCTGTGTTTACAGACTCGGGTCAAGAAGATTAGCAAATTGATTTTGCCTTGTTTGGGAGCACACTTCGGTGACCTGCTCGCATTTCAGCCCTAGGGCCATTTCCAGAAAAAAATGCCAAGCAGACGCTATACAGCCTACAGGCTCCTCTGGTGCGAAGGGGAGCTTCCAAAACACACACAGCATCGTGCAAGCTGGCAGTAACTATGAAGCAGTGGAGCAGGTCTAGTGATGTCAGACAGCAAGCGTGCAACTCGCACAGCTCGCCAGCGATAACGCAACCCTGGAAAGCAACTGTAATTGCAGCAGAGCTGAATATTTCTATTTTACAGCTAAGTGTCCTTTTGCAGGTACTCGCTGTTTGCTTTGATGAAGGTGGAATTCATATACGTACTGGAGAGTGCTGTAAACGCCCCAGGCATTTAAAGGAATATGGCCACGTGCTCAGAACATTTTAAGTTTTGCATGTTGACTTTTGTTAACTCAATGGCTGAAAAAAGTCATGCTGAACACAACACAGCCCCTTCTCAAATGGAATTACAGCCCGTTTGACAGCAAAATGATCTACCCAGCAGCTACTACTATTTCTTATATTCACCTAGCACAGAATTCCTCGCATTTCCCACTGTGACTAGTAGAGGGAAAAAAAATAAACAAACTAAAAAATCTCAGCCCTTCATTTATTAGTCCTCATTTAGATTGACGGATATCACCATTTTTCATTGGCAACACCTTGGGGTGTGTGGGGAAATACCCACACAGATCACAAACCTTATGATCCCCATTAAGTACAGGATAGAAAGCCCTGTCTGAATAGGCCAGGACATTCAGCTACATTAACCTACTGGAATATTCCAAGATTCGAGGCACATCCACCAGATACATTGTTCAAAACAACCTCACTGCCCCATACCAGTATAATTTTTAGTGCAAGTTACTTCTAAAATAAACAACTTGGCCTTCACCTTGGAATTTATCTTCTAGAAGCACTGTTCTCACATAGTAGAAGGGGACAACAAAAGATAAAGCCCTGCCTAGGCGTAATTAATTTGTCTGCGGTACACATCAAGTTGTGTAATAACATCCTAATGTTACTTCTGCCACTTAGAAAAATAATCCTATTTTCATGAAGGAACATGTGCACTGAGAACCAGCTATCTAAGAAGAACAGTCTGCTCAAAATTGTCTGGGGGAAAAAAAAAATTAGCCTTCTAGGAAAGCTCATTTCAGGATGCTACCAGATTGCTAGCCACTTGTCAACTGGGCACAGGAATTAAACACTGGTAAGTTATCCCCAGCTCCAGCTACGCTGTCACACCAGGTCCTAAGAAAATTTTGATGACTGAAGTAAGTGATTCCCAGGAGAAAAATAACAGCTAGTATCAGAAGGGAAAGGGACAGGTGTCGAGCAACACACACAACCTGGCACCCACATTTCTCAGAAAGAAAACAAAACCCTGAACGCAGTTGGCCAGGTTTTCTCCCCATTTCTCCCTGCTGGTACCGTGAAAATCAATGACATCTTTTCTGCCCGGCTCGCTGCTGCTGACAGCGCAGAAGCCCCC